ATTTTCTGAAAGCAGGTAGCACTGAGTGTTGCTTGGTTAGTCAAGGTCCTGGAGGAACAAGAGGAAATGTAAGCTCTGCCTTTTGCTGTCCTCAGTTTTCTTTTTTGTGCATTTCCAGTGAAACCACAGTCTTTTACTTCCTTTTTTAACCTCTGGCCCTTTGGCTCCTCCATAGACAGGGACCAAGCAGTACCTCTGAGCAGGCGGGCACGTGGGGATGGGGCACATCCTCTGGCCAGCCCCACGGGCAGCCCCTGCTCCGGAGCCAGGGGTGCTGAGCACCCGGACCGGGCGGCCGGGGCGCCGGAGCTGCCTTTGCGCTGGGCAGCCCTCCGATTCCGCACGCGGGAGCGCAGTGACATATCCCGTGTAAGCCGGTTCCCACCCGTGTTCCATAGTTGTAGTGATTAATTTTACAAGATACACAACAAAACGCACTCACTCCTAATAAGGTGCACGCAGCGAGTGCACTCCTGGTGCTTACTAATGTGCACTCAGTAATGTACATCCACTAAGCCTGGGCACTCAAAAACTTAATAATTAATAATAAGCCTTCATAATAAATATAAAAGGCATCCCTCCAGAAGAGTTAGTATTAGTAATACTATTTGGCACTCTAGTAGGCTCTCAATACCTACACTTAGCATTTGCTTGTGGAAATCAAGGTACCTTTATATCACATCACTCTCTAATTAAAAACAAAGAGGAAAAAAAAAAGAACCCTTTGCTAATAATTTTTTCAGGTTTATACATTTGATAGTCTGGTGGTAATTCTCAGATAAATTACCTCCTATTACTTTTGAGCATTTAATTCCAAGATATGTATGAGCTTTCTATTATTTTTCTTATTTCATGCCAGATTTCTTTATGAATACATTGTAACCTCTGCAGTGCTTTAAATTTCTTTCCTTATCTCTTTTTCTCAGAGTTCTTTGAGTCAGGTTTAGCTTGAGAGTCTTGAATTCTTCTGCTTGAGCAGTGTATGCACGAGGAATTACAAGATGCCCACCTATACAGATCCAACATATTCTAGTACAAAAGTAAATCTGAAAAGAAGTTCAGTCACACGATTGTTCCAGCATGGCACAAAATGACATTTTAATTTAAAGCCCTGCAGTCACTAGAAAGGTCACAAGAGGGAAATAATGCCATTTTTTTGTTCATCCTCATCCTTTCTCTAAATGGGTACCATATTTATCCCCACAGTTGCTAATCATTGATGGACAGCAGCTCAGAAGTGACCCGGCTACTGTGATGGATGAAGTGCAGAAGTTTCTTGGCGTCTCTCCTCATTACAATTACTCTGAAGCTCTAACGTGAGTCTGTGCCTGTAATATCTGCCCTCTAAGACCACACTGCACATCCCCTCCTCCTGAGAGCAATGGTCATTAATAAAAAGCCAGAAAACCCCCCATTACGAGAATGACAGCTTTGCAACACTAAGCAGAGTTTTGGGGAGGAGGGTTGAGTCACGACTTCCCTTACCTCGCATGCATACAATAAGTTGCAGAATAATTGTATGATAGCATAATACCTCTGGTTTTGTGCAAGTTCTTTGTCACCCAATGTATGGAACAAATGACCACTCTTTATTTTGCATTAGGCTCATTGCAGTCCATTTTGGCCTAGGGTTTACTACCTGCAAAAACTGCTTGTGGTCTCCTCCAAAAATACAGTGAATTTCCCTTTTCACTACTTTTTATATTTTCCAGATACATTATAGATGTAAAATGCCTATTTTTTCCCCATGAATTCCATCTTTCCAAACTAAGATCTAAGGTCCAGATTCACGTAAAAAATGCCCGCTGATTGTGAGCATTCGGTTTGAGATACCCAAGGCTTGACTTTTCAGGATGCTTAATATTGCTTTCACAACTGCACTGATTAACACGTAGGTCCAGCTGATCAGAACTGCACATGTGAGAGCCCATCTAGCATCTGCAAGTTGGAGCATAAAACCTCAGGACAGTCTCCAAAAACTTAATGTTGGTTGTGAAAGGCTTGAATTAAATGTTTTTATCATGCCAGCATAGCAGTCTAATAGCAGAGGCCAGGATTCGTCTGCTTGCAAGGGATCTTCATCCGCTGGCTTTAAGTATGGACAAAATATATCACGGTATAATTATACCATGGTAATTACATGGCATAAGAACTTGAACCAGTGTTGCTGACTTTTCACCCAGCCAGACATGCAGTCAGACGCACAGCATGGAAGAATTTAGCCCCCTCACCAAATGCATGGTGAAACTGTAAGCTGCTAATAGCAGACCTGGAAGTGCCGGGATCAAGCACAGCCCTGGGAGCCTGGGCTGGGAGCTCCTATTTGCCCCAGAGGCTCATAGTTATCTATGCAATGGGTATAAACCGAGAATTGCTCGAATGTTTGCTGCTCGTTTAGTCTTAGGAGTGGTGCTTTGCCAAAACCTTTCTTTAGGGGAAAAATTTTGGATTTCGGAATGTAATTTTTAAGTCATTGGTTTCTAAAGTAAACAAAATACAGGAGGAGTTTCAGTACATAGCTAAACCACTGATGTTTGAACAACTGCTATCACACATTTCCAGTGCCTTCTGCTATGCTTTTAAAAACACACACACACACACATATATATGTATCTTCCTTTGTGTAACTAAATTAGAGTCAGTGGAGTCACACAGCAGGAAAAAATCTATCAGATTTATTTGGACAGGAAAAAATAGGTTGTAAACAGTTTTATATGATTATGCAGTCACTGTTTGAAGACATGGAGTACGCAAATGTGGTGCAGGAACACATGGGTCTGCATGGATTGAGGAGGGAAGAGGAAAGTGCATTCAGTGAGGTAGCAGCTCCGTGTTAGAATTGTCAAAATAAAGAAGATTGCATAGGGTGCTTCCTCATTATTAATGCCTGATAAGTGCATACCATGAGTTTTTAAAGTCATCACAGTGCAGCGTAAAGAGCCAGCCCTGCAAACACACATGAGCAACAGGTTCATCATTCTGAGCAATCCCAGAAACAGCTTCAGGAAGAGTAAAATCAACTCAGGCCCGAGGAAGATGCTGGCCAGAGCAGAGGCCCCCCTTTGATGCCATGCAAGAGAGCAGTACTGCGTCATTTCTTATACTCATCACTAACTAGGACCTGTGGGTTTTTTTAGAGCAAGGGAAAAAAACAAGGGGAAGTTAGCCAATGTTATAAGACTTTTGCACATAACGCTGTTCATAAAACCACATTAAGCTCTTCAGGTAAAAGCCTTAGGAAAGGGGTTAGTTACATCCGTGAGGCACCTGCTCACGCAGCAAGGGGACTTCTCCCCTTTCTCCCCTCACCACTCCTTGCCACCAAGCATGACCAAGGGCTCACATTTTTTTAAGCATCTCAACCTGATGAACCAAAACCTGGAGCAGCTGGGACGAAATGTACCACAGCACTTTCCTTTAGATCCCCAAGCGGCCTTGCTTCATCCCCAGCACTGCTAGCAGGGTGTCCCCAGTGCCTGCCCCGCTCCAGTGACCCACAGCCCATGGCAGCCAGGGCAGAGCTCGTCCCCGTAGGAGAGCAGGGCACCTGGGGGCGAAGCCGGGCCCTGGCAGCGCGGAGCTGCAGGGCTTTCCCACAGCCGAGAGCCAGGGCAGACCTGCTGCAACCGTTTCGGGCCTTTTAGCGCGCTCCGT